TCAGAAGCAGGTTCCCTAGGGTTTCTGGGGCCAGATCCCGTTGCTCTGACAAGTCAATAGTCAATAACACCAGCCCTTTGACCCTGAAGGACGCTTGTGAATTGGCATACCGTGTATAGAATCATGCACCCCTTGAAAAATCCTGGAGATTTCGTCTTCGAGCTTTCTACCCTCTTCTTCAAGCCAGTTGAGCACGGTATCCCACGCCAGAGATAGCTGGTCAATTCCCGAGCCGAGAATCTCTTCGTTCCAGCAACGATACGGTTGTTTCGCCGTTTCATGCGTTCCGTAGTTGCGACAGAATGCTGCATATGTCATGTGGTGCCACTGTAGGTAGACAAATTAGGTACCGAATATTCTTGGGGTACTGTGGGTCCTACTTACAGTTGCCCATTCTAAGCTCGCCTCGACTGCATCGTCCCTCCAATCACGTCGACTTCGGCCTGTATGAAGGGTTATTTACTTAGGTCTTCATGACTGGGTTGTAGGTCGGTGCCTACGAATTTGTTGTGTAATGGCTTCGGAGAATTGCCTCCTGAGGCTACTCTGTAAGGAGTGTACCTGCGAGCCATCACGAGTTGTGCTCTACGCGAATTAGCAATCATGGCATTTATAACTAAGCAGCAGATAGTAGATGCAGTTTTGGAGCCTGCATCTAGACAGAGCAAAGTGCATTTGGATATTAAGACGATTACCGTACCCCTTTCAGACTGCTTTCGGCTTCAGTCAAAACCCGTCGCAAGACTTCTGCCCGGGCCATAGTCATGGTGCTAGTCCCTGCTAAGGCCCATTGTGTGATAGAACCCAGCAGCGCTGGTACTTCATGTTGAAGATAAGATACCGTGGCTCGGAACTGCGCATCTGCCGGTACTGATTGGCAGTACCGTCGAAGTTCTTGGATACCACTGAGTGCCAAATACCCATTGGCCTGTCGTGGATCGTCCTCTCGATGGTCAGAGTAGAGCTTATTGCTCACGCAGAATATGCGAGCCATCTCGCCCCAGGCATGCAACAAAGAGTTGGTCACAGATGTATTTCTTCGAATAACGAGGAAGTTCATCAACCTGGCAAGTTTCAGATTAGACCAATATCTTGACTTGAAACAACCAAAGTAAGGGTTTCTTACTGAAGCTCAAGCGTTTCTTTCTGATCCCTGTACTGAATGAGATATAGGAAAATTTGGAGTATCATGCATCGGCTCCACTTACCTGAGGTTACTTTCCTCTGCAGCGAGACTCTGCATCTTACTTCCGTGCGCTTTTCGTCTGCGAGTACCTGTCTGCACGATTCTGCGATCGAGCTGCCGGATTTGGTTGTTCATGTTCCGGATACGTGCAGCATCTGCTGCAGGAGCGGTACGTGCCGCCTCTTCTGAATTGACGTCCTGGATTTCAGTGGTCATTTTCATGTCACCTAGATAATGAATCCGAAAAGCACTTACCTCGCAGCGAGTACACACAATGCGGATAGGTTGATCTCGCGCACATCGACGGATGATATCCCTTATGGACTGATCGGTTGTACATCGCATAATATTACTCACAATAAACACCTCGTCGCAGCTGTGCCGTAGGTACCTTTCCGTCGCTCGTACCCGAGCGTAGTTTAAGTCGCGAAATCCTGAACATTATGCTCTTAGCTTATTCTGCATGACACCATTATAGTACCTCGGTAAGATACCTGGGAGGTCGGCCAATACTAAACCCGTGCGTAGAACGGGCGAGCGCAAATAGACCCTATGTATAGATTAGCCACGTAACGCAGCGATTGCATACAATCACTTCTGTTATATACCTGACCAACTTCACAAACGGCCACAAAGCAGGGTTATCACCGTCGTCATCATTGGCCATCAGTCTGTCAAGATGCTTCATGCATTGATCCGCATGATGAGACACAACCGTATACTGTAGGTTATCACGCCCTCCTGGTCGGGTATCTAAGCCCGCCATGGCCCACTCCAGCAAGGTGCTCATAATTGTAGCGACGGCCTCGTCTCCTTCCTGGGCAAGGAAGTCAATGTCCAGGTCCCGCTCATGAGGAAAGAGGGATTTCAAAGTGTCCCAGGCTCTTTTGGCCGCAACTTTGATATTCTCCTGCTCTTCCGACGTTCTCACTTCACGGAATGCTTCCGTGTAGTATTTCCGAACACTGGATAAAAGCTCCTCGAGGAGCTCACGGATCTCGTCATTGTCCATGAAATCTGCAACAACAGTATAGTTTTCTGGATAGGTATCATTTACACTCCGGAATTCGGTAACGACAGTGGTGCAGGCAGCACCGTCTCCGCTCTACGAGAAGGGTAGAACATCGGGTATTAGTTTCTCATAGGTATATTATAATAATTTGTTTCAAACTCACCGACCGAGCCAAGCCCTCTTGATCTAGAAGTGAATTTATCAAACTGCTCTTTCCTGTTCGCACGAATCAGCCTCTTAACGTACGTGTGTCAGCTATCTTTCCGATACTTACCAACACCCGAGTCGCCGATGAAGCCTACCGTACGTGTCGCTGGATAAGCGAATCGACTTGCTTCACGTGTCTTCTCATAAAGCTTGGACAAGTCACTAGTATTGTCGTGGGCAAGGGTGTTACCGCCCATTATTTGTGCAAGACTCGTTAGTTCACTCCTGACATCTCGCAGCGCATTCTGAAGTTGAATATCATAGATAGGCTCCTGGGGAAGAGACTCATGACGAATGTTGTAGGCATCCTCATCATCATCTTCCGCTGCATCTCCCTCACTGTCGAGTGTAGAGCTCCTGTCAGAATCAGAAACATAACTATCTGCGTCTCCCAGATTTAGATTCTGGAAATGAGAGCTGACATCTCCCGAGGGCGAGGTTGGAGTAGGTGACCGTTGTTGGCTTGGTCGTACATGAGAGGGACCTATAGGGCTAGGTGTAGAATTGTGCAGATCCCGGTAGGTTGTACGATGAGTGCTGCGAGCAGGTGTTAGGCCAGAATCGTTATGAGGTATGCTTGATTGATCGATTGCTGGCTGTTGGGCTGCAGAAGAGATGCTATCGCTCAAATGAAGATCTTCAAAGAGCAACCGCGTGGTTGGCGTCGTAGAGGATCGGCGACCTTCTGGGGTAGCTGAGTTGAAGCCGTCGACGGACGAATTCGGGGTCAGGCATTCGGGAGACGATGGGCTGCAGGAGAACGTAAACTCGACCGAAGGAAGAGGATGATCTCTGTTTATAGAAGATGGGATCGCTTCCGCGCTCCTGGTGGGAGTAGTACCGTGTTGATCTGCGGTGTCAGCCATGACGCTGTTGTTGCATACCTGATGTCCACTATGCGGAAAGTAGTCGTCGAGAATATCAGTAGTGTCTGGGGACTCGCGATCATTATAAGGAAAGGAGGCTGAGCATGCGGGGCTTTGTACGGCGCCTATGAGCGTTTCATGTGGTGGAGAACATTGCGTGGGAAAGAGCCGTCTCTGCTAGCCTCGGCGCCAAACATTCCTAGCCAGAAGCACGCAACACTAGTCACCACGAAAGTTGCAGGGGTTCGGTCGCTTTCATTGCCCTCCTTGGAATGAACTGGAAGTGCATTTGGGATAAGAATAGTCCTCCAACTTGATCCTATTGCTGCCAACGGATAACTCGGAAACCTGGGTATATAGGATCCTCATGCATTCAGTTGTAGTCAAATTACCGTTGCTGAACTCAACATGATTGTTATATTGTAAATCACCGGAGGCTCAGTTTGTTGCGTGATCTTACCTGGGAGCCAGGGCTACCCATTAAGGGCTTCTTCTTAAAATGTCGCCGCTTTTCTAGATGGCTTCTAAAAGCTGGTGTTTGTCCACGGTCCATTGTCACTTCCGCTGCAACCCGCCGTTAGATACGCTCCTGCCAATGCCGGTATAGAAACACTGGACTATGGCATGTCGTTCCTCAATCTCCCAGATGTGCGCTGGTGACCCGTCAATCCTTCAGGACACACTCTCCCTTTGTACTTACTGTTTGCAAATTTTAAGGAGAGATAATACCCAGGACTGTCGATTTAGCCAGTCGGGGTTGGACGCTTCGACAATAGGGCAAAGCCGCGACGGCCCGGTGCAACCTTAAGAGCCACTAACCGTTCAAGCACTTAACTCAGTCCGGAAATACTACGAGTCAGCTGTCGTCCTACTAGTACGGATTAGTCTCGACAGATATTGGTTCTCTTCTGGCACAGCCTTGTTCCATATCCCAATCGTGTGCTTTCACAATCATAGCCCCGCGATGGTCGTGACCATTATCAGCCACTAACCAATAGTGATAATTTATACCAAGTCATGCACGGCATGGCCGAGGGAAATAGATTACAGCTTGTCTAGTAAAATAGGGAAGGTGAACTAATTTTCGTGGCTCGGCCTACTATACCACACTAATGTGTCTCGCTACCATACAAAGTTGCGGGGATGGTACTTAGTTTCGCTGGCTAAGTTCACACAGGGGTGTATAGGTCCCCAGGTCGCCAGGTCATACATATTTTCGGTTCTTACTAGTATGGGATCTGGTTGTTACTAATACCAACTATTAAAAAAAAACTAAACTGTAAAAATACACTGTCTTAACTTTATACTAATGATATAAAAATAAGTAGATATAGTTAATCAATTATAAAAAATTGTTATTATTTTAGCATAATAAAACTACTAAATTACTTAATTATCACTTAACAGTCAATACCAGTCGTTGCTAACACCCTCCTTAAAATGTTGACTGATCAAATTATGTTTAAACGGGAGCGAGTCAGTCATATCTAGATCGTCTTTGTTTGGCACGTCATGACCTAATCCCACGATCGTATCAGGACGGCAATGTGCTTGTCGGGTGTGGGGTGCCAATGCATCAGTTTGACACGTCATCAGTGGATTCTCAGCTGAGGAATCAGCTGTGCTCATATACGGCCCATGCCCGGGTTTTGACATTCCTTGTGCCCTTTGGATTTCCTCTATTGCTCTCAAGATAATGCGAAAAGTATAGATCGCAGACAAGAGAATAATGCCGACTATCCCCAATGATACCAGCGACGCTACACGACCGCCAGGAGCCCACAAAGAGCCACCTTTAATAAGCCTCTCCGACCCAGATACACCCGCATTAAACGCCAGCAACCGAGAAACATATAAATATACCCCTTTGCCACTACGTACGATCCGCTTGCTTCATCTGATGCCCCATGAAGATGAAGATGCTGAGATACAAGGCCAGCTAGTCGAATACTCCCTTGAACGATCCGGTGGTAGCCCAGCTCTATATGAAGCTTTATCATATGTGTGGGGTGATCCCAATAATCCACGCAAAATCTCCATCGATGGGAATAAATTGCAGGTTACAATAAGCTTACATAGCGCATTACAGCAAATTCGACATACGCTGATGACCCGAGTTTTATGGATCGATGCTATTTGCATTAACCAGGGAGACGATGTGGAGAAGGGACAGCAGGTCGGGTATATGGCAGAAATCTACAGCAAGGCTAGCCGCGTGATTGTTTGGCTAGGTGAACCAGAGAATGGATGCGACAAAGCGCTTGAAGATATCTGTCTGGAGGTAGATCAGAGATCCATGTCATCTCTCGAACCCCAGGTTAAGGAACAAATCTCAACGTTGCTTCATCGGCCTTGGTTTGAACGAATCTGGGTATGGTTCATCGAGAGCAAATACTTACATACACTCCTAATATAGTCTAATCCAGGTTCTTCAAGAAGTTGCTGCGGCGCGACATGTCGTGCTAAAGTGTGGGTCTGTAGAAGTTGATGGATACGCCTTCTGTGTCGCATTGAATTCACAGTCCTTGGGTCTCCTGGAAGGAGTGTCACCGACTGTGCAGAACGTGGTCCACTCAGCAATATATCTCATACAAGGGGCAGCATTTCGATCTAGAAGAGTAGCTAGCTCCTCGATGGGACGGTTCTCCCTTGGTATCCGCCCCCTTGGTGAGCTGGTGGAGGTATATCATACACGCAAGGCAACTAGACTACATGACAAGGTTTTCGCTCTGCTTGGTATGAGCTCCGATGACCAAATCGCAGCTGGCCTTTCCCCGGATTACTCAATACCCTGGTACACACTTATGGAACGCCTTATACAGGTTCTCCTTGGCCAGCAGGTGGCTGTCGCAACCTGGATCGACATGGAGATGGCAGTTATCCAGAGCAGGGGGCATATTATCGGCAAGATTACCGCGGTTGGCAATCCTCAAGACAGAACCAAACAAGAAGTGACCCTCCTTCTGAAAGACCAGTGGAATGAGCTAAGTTCAGTGATGAGATGGGATCTTCCACCCTTAGCGAAATCTGCCCGAATTGGTGATATTATCTGTTTCCTAGAGGGGGCTTCGAACCCTACAATTGCCAGGCCATGTAAAGATCATTTTCTAATCATCATGATCACAGCCCCCAAACTTCGAAGGAGTTTTCTGACGGGCACTCAATGCAATTTGTTACTTGTCTGGGATTGGGATGATACCTATGCGAGGATTGAAGAGGGGTACTTCGAAGAGTTTATGAAGGTTCGAAGCCCGGACCATCTCAGTACATCGACCTTCAGTTGGGAACGCGACACAACAAGAGCACTGAACATGGCTATGGTATTGGAAGAGGTAGAAGATTACCAAACAGCGGAGCGTACGCTTCAAGAATTTGTCGACAATCAGCGAAAGCAATACGGCCACAACAGCCCATATTTACTGGAATGTGAAAAAAGACTTGAATCACTGCGCCAGATATTGAAACATCTGGATCATATGCAGGACAAGAGTTCGAATGGCCATGTGGCAGACAAACTTTATTGCAGGAACTCTCGCCAGCGGGAGAGTTGGGTTGTCAGAATCTGGGCACAACGAGATGGTAAGTTCCCGGTGATCCAGGCCGGCGTCTTGGTCTTCTAAGATTGGTGCTTACACGAGGCTTGGAAGATATGCAGAACATAGCGGCCACAGGTTTCTTTATCCGTATACCTGGTCTTGGGAAACGAGTCATACTGACGGCCAGGTCAAATCTCATTGACTCGCGTGGGGCCAAGAACAAGATATTAAACATCGGCTGGGTTGAGAATGGCCAGTTCACTGCATATCCTACGGTCGGGTATGATATTTTTGTATCTGCCTCGGGAAGACCTGACCTCGATACTGAAGTTGACGCTGGCTATGGAGTGATTATCCTCCATTCAACGGTTGATAAGGACATAAGCGAAGTTGGTTTTGATTTTGCGCTTAAACTTGGACTAGACGACCTTCAAGGGCGATACCTTGAGCTCTTTGGATATGAGGGCGGCCAAGCCGAGCCTTCTATCAGCTCGGGAAGTTGTCTTGCTTGCTGGGAGGACAGCCTGAAACATGACTGCCTGAGTAGACCGGGATATAGTGGCTCCCCTATGCTTATGGCATACCAAGGGGCATATGCCGCAGTGGCTATCCAGTAAGGATATTACCATAGTTCCCAGTTGCTACCGGGTGGGCTCTAACATATGATCAGTACCAGTAAAGGCACCAGCCTTCGCCTCAATGAAAGAGTCATGGAAGATATTTTCAACTGGACAAAAACTAAGGAAACGAATAAGATCCTACAAGTTTCCCCTTTACACCTCGGTCCTATGTATCTTCAGTTCCGACCCGATTCGAAGTATGCTGTCATACGAGTTGGCTACGATGGCCTGGAGACAAGGTTTGATGTTCTCCCCGCTCATGGACACCAATCAGGCTGTGAATACGTATTTAGGCTGCGTCCACCACTCGCGTGGCCACGTCCCAGAAATGAGCGTTGGGTCTCGTGGGATATGAAGAAGCGAGGAGTTTGCCTCACAAGCACTCTAGAAGAGTCTTGTTACGTACGAATCTCCCGCAGGCCTGGAGAGGTGGCATTCAAGGTCATAAAGAAACAGGGGCGGAGAACTATGGAGGCTTGTATGCAAGCAACCGGGCTCTGTGATGACAGAATAAAAGGAGCAGAGTTCGAAGGAGCACTCTCCTTCAGAATGTACTACAGAAACAAGTTGCGGGATGGCACACAGTTCTGTCTCAGAAGCTATGAGAAGTCGGCCAGTGATCACTTCGATTTGTGAGCCGCACCAGGCAGCTTGTGACTAGGGACGGAAAAAATGATAGTATAGTCTGGTGTTACCCTTCTAGATTGTCCAAAAGTTACATTAATTGTGAAAATGGTATTCATGTAGCTATTAGAGACCTAGTGGCAGTTCTGATAATCTCTGTATGCCCAAAACACCACCTCTCGTGCAGTTGCTTGTTTGCTAGGCGACTGAGACGTTTTATTCTGTCAAGTAAGTATATATATATGTACTTAGGTGCCCATGAGGATTGACAAACAGTCATGGCGACGTGCTGGACTCCAGATTTTACAAAGAGATTAGAATATAATTAGATAAGGTTACACTAAGATGAGGCGAGCCTGGAAGCCCATTATCACGCAGAACGCACTGTTTAAAACCAGAGAAACATGAAGAGGCCAGATTCATGACCAATAACCACACAATTGTCACTGACAGCCACAGAGCTCAGTCGGAAGTCAGGTGGCAGCCCAATGCAACGTTGCCGGCCCCGAGTTATCCATTTCTCATCTATGAAGATATTGGCCCCCAAGTGCTCAATAGACGAACCTGATGGTTGATCTTTCATGGGGACTGAACCACGATCAGTCATATAATGACAGCCATCAGCCGAGAATGCTATAGTTTCAACTACTGAACCAACATCAAGTCTCTCTTGTTCCGCACCCATGGTGGTATCCCACAGTCGCGCTGTGTGATCGTGTGAGTCTAATGCCACCGTCTGGCCGTTGGGGAGAAGGCGACTGCGCAGACCCAGTCCGTATGCCGGTCTAGGGCGTGTTTACATGGTTCCCATGTCTCCCGCATCATAAATACGTGCTCCAGAAATTGCAACCGCTCTGTCCAAAAACCCTAATTTCGCTATCACAATTCCAAGGGCACACACGCCAGCGCAGCCCCGCAAGTCTGCGAAGGTGCTTTTGTATAATAAATCCATTGCTAGTGTCAAATCTCTCGGCCTCCTTCCAGATAGCCTGATGCTCATGGTGAGTACGCTTGGTGCGGGGCAGCGCTTTCCGTTGCCTCCAGCCGCCTAACATGTCCCAAAAACTTCTCGTTCCTTTCGTTTCTGGGTCCGGGTTCGGATGATCATACTGCTCAAGAAGCCGAATATAGAGAACCTACACCATTGCCAAAGCATGGAGAGCAATTTCACTCCTCGCGATACTGGGCAAGATACTGGAGTCTGTGGTAGCAGAAAGGATCTCATATGTAGTGGAGACTTACGGTTTGCTCCTGAGTAATAATAATAATATATTTAATTTCTATTTAAACAAAATTTTATATCAATATTTATTTCCTCTAAACTTCACATTGTACCCGAATGACTGGATAAATTTAAAGAAAGTATATTTAAGTAATATTGTCTATTATACCTGCGAGTTTTAAAAATAAACTATAGAAATCCTTGGCTGATGTGATAGGATCTACTTGTCAGGGTAGAAAGCCTGTCGACTAGGTAAGGAATCAGCCACTAAATACTATGGATTTATCTGAAAACGACAACTATATGTCTATATCCACCGAATAGACTGATTTTTAGAGGATCAGTAGTCTCATATAAAGAAATCAGTATCTTATAGATATACTCCATGTATGTGGCCATATGGGAGAATATTCACCGCTAGGCTCAATCCAATAATCGTTAGAGCCATGCATGTGCGGTTGCCCCATTGCAAGATCGTATTATCAAATTATCAATCATAAGGGAATATAGGCAGTTAATTATGCGCTAGTGACGCAGAATTTACTTTCGCGGAGGCTGCAGCAGCTATTCCCTTATTCTACGTCCAACACTGACGCCCCTGATATATAAGGGTGCCTATTGTCCGCGATGACTTAGTCATCAAGGTGTCTTTTTGGCTTCCCAGGATATCCAATATTCATATATAGTATATTTCTTTCCCTTTGCCTACTGAGCCCTTTATTTGGCAGAAGGCAGTCGCGAAGCACGATATTATACGCACAACAGCGAATATCGTTAACTCCTATTTCAAGAATATTGTTCTCAAAATCCACTCCAGTGATCTTCAACACCAGCTTCCGATGGATCGGTTGACGGCAAGTCTGTTATTCTATATAAACCGGACGCTTTAGAACAGACAGAAGAGTCATCGATACCCGTCGCCCAGTTCCTGAGAAACTTCAGCGACTCATATTCCGCATGCCAAAGACGGGCAGACAGTGAATACTGCTCTCATGGCATTTCTGAATGACCTTACAACCGACTTTGACTATACCAATATTGTGGCTGGATGCTGCACAAGGCATTCTTTCTCCGCCAAATATGAAGCTGCTAAGAATGAGGCTCGAACGGACGGATATCTCGTCGACGGCAATGAGAGCCCTTCTTAATCTCTCATCGAAGTAAAACTGGTCATTCGAGCAATACATGAGGCAGGTTCTGGTGGGAGTTTACATGTCGAGATAGACCAGAAAGGAATGTGATGTTCTTCCAGTCACGCTGTAGGTTCCCTCCTTCTACCATTACCTGTCTTTCTTTGACCTTATATTAACGGCATATAGATGCTCTGATATATCTCAAGATCAGCACGAAATATTCATAACCTTTGCAGAGTATAATAACATCAATTGCCAGAGGCCCGCAGACACCAAAGTCCCGCCAATCTTGACTATGCATCAATCAATATGCACCGTGGGATACTACCATTTCCGGACCCACACCCTATATCGAGGCTAATATCACGAAGGTGGGGAACAGATTGGAACAATCTGGTCAGCCTTCGTTTTTTTTTTTTATCCTAGTTCTAGGGTTATATAGTAAATAAGTTAGTTCTACCAAAATCCACATGTCTGGTTACTTTCGCACGGCTGAGGCATGTTCAAGCTACTACTTCAATCATTCAAATCTAATAAGTTACGTTCGTTTATATTAGTAGATCTTTGATGTTTCTCTCGTCACCCCTAGAAAAGAATGAGTTAACCGACAAATGTAGAAGATACTAAATGAATGTTGGAGCGTGCTAGAACACGCGACAGCAGTGCAGTATCATGAGCGGTGGGGTATCATGAGCAGTGCGTTAAGTTCTGATGAGAGACATATCGGCCTCTTTAACACTGGATTATATAAGAATATTGGAGTGTGAATCATAAAGTGTCAATATATAGATGTGAGATGTAGGTTAAGTGATTACTTATTCATCTTACTGCTTTATTCTGTTATATTCGTTTGGTAGCCCTAATAAAGTCTATACTAGATAGTAATATACTAAGTTATTCTCAACTTTACATATCATTGCCAAGGTTTCGCTTGTTCTCAGGACCACTAATGAGTAGCGGCAGCGCCCCGTATCGAGCGCTCTACACAGCGGGACTACTTAGCGGGACAAGACAACCAAACCCAATCATGCTAGGGATCATCGTGATCAGCTCTGTACCCTTGTCACCTTTGTCAGAAGTTAATCAGCATCCTGCCTGTTCCGTAGAGACGGTACTTTCGACACCCTCTACAAAGTAAATATTCTTTACTGATTTCATGCCCAACTGATGGGTAGTGCGGTCTCTCAAATGAGGAGCAGACCCCCTTGCCTAGATAGGCAGATTCAAAACACGCGAATTCAACGCGTACCGGATCTATGCATATACACAAGTATACTTTTTAGCTTTGGGCAAGAACTTGAACAATATTGGAGACGAGAATATGAGTCTCAAACCAGGGCGGGGGAAAAGTCTAATCGGATAAAGGTTCAATAGCTGTCTCCGTGGCTGGAAATAGTCCGAGCATGATTATGGTGGATGGGAGGGTTGGGATCCCCGGATCAGCGAGATTGATCACGGTGGAATAAAATGCAAGGGAAACCTGGCCAGCCAGTTGTAAGTGACTGCTGGCAGTGGTAGATTATAGGCTGGGTTTAGGTTGGCGAGTAGGTGTCATGTGTTTATTTGGTTTTTCTTTTGAGAGGGGGAGGGGAAAGGTAAGTAGGTTTCGGTTATTGAGTTCGGGTTGAGAGGTACGAGACTTTGGTAGGGTTAGGTAGCTCTTGTATGCAGGGAGGTGAGAGATAGCTACGATAGCTACTCTGTAGGGTATAGTTTAGAGGGAGAGAAGGAGAGGGGGGAAAGAGGGGAACACACATGCATAATTTGGATGCGGTGTACATGCCTACCTGCATTACAGACGGGATGTCATACAAACAACCAGCCGGGCATCCCTGTTGCAAGAGACAAACCTGCAGGTAACAGCTGTGGTGGTGGTGGTGGTGGTGGTTGAGAGTATAGAGCGGGATACCAAAGTGTGGATCAACCGGAAGAGACGGGAAAGTGTCGACCCAATATTCATGGCCATCCAATTCCTGCTTCCATTCAGCCTTGTGGGTCTGGCATCACAGGTCCATTGTTGAGTCACGAAGCCTACTCTGAACAAGCCATGTTGTCGAAAGGAATGGAAGAGAAGGAGGGATGGATAACCACGGAAAGGGAGGAGCAGGTGACTGCTGGAAACCGAGGAGGGATGATCTCATTCTGCCGACCGTTCCGGGATGCGAGGATCTGCATCAGTGCAAGCACGGCGGAAGATTTAGTCTTGCTGTAGCTCGAAGCTTCTCGAGAAGAGGACGAGGGAAAGAGGGAAGGTGGGATTGTGCATTGACTGATTATTGATCCCGCTGGAACCCGGCGGGTTGCACGATGGGAGGTGGCGTGGTCGCCATTGGTCTGTGCCGAAGCTGGTGGAAGCTGCTTGATGACCGCTGAGTAAAGTGCTGAGTCACGGTGAAATCATACATTCCTGTATTGAGTTATCCAGTATGAAGAAAATTAGATGATTCTATTGATGGAATGGATGATAGAATGGAATGAATAATGTGGGAAGAATGATGGAAAACGGTAGAAATGAAGCCAGAAGGGAGTATGAGGATAGAGAAGAAAAGCAAAAGACCGAAGGAAATCCGGCCAAGATCCAGACCGGGCGATCCCCCGTGACGCCAAGCCATGACGATGGAAGTTGAGTGGCTTCACGCCTTCTTCTTCTTCTTCAGTCAATCAATCAATCACCTTTCAGCCACGCAACCTGGAAAGAAAAATCATGAGTTGACCAACAACATCTCGTCTCCCTTGCCTGGTCCGTTCCGGCTCTGTCCATCTGGCTCCATCCATCAGTCCATGGTCCACGCAGATCCTCACACTAGCCATGCCGGACCTGATCCCCGCCCTGGCTGTGATGCAGACCCAGCTGCGTTGTTGCGCTTGTTGTTGCTGCTGTGATGGCCATCGCGTTCCATCTCGGTCGGGCACCCCTCTTGTCCTAGGAACAGTATGATGCTGGCCCCTAGTTTAGTAGTATACCTCTGTTGATGTGGTCTTCCTGCACAACTACGGCAATCTAGTCAGTGCAATCACACAACCCCTACTACCTTCCCGGCGCAACGACTGGTCCGCCTCGGAACTGACTTACTTCATGCAGAGGAAATTATGACGCATCTGGGGGAAAGCGCAAAAAACCCGCCAAAGCTGGCTCTCCTTCCGTTGGCGTCGTTCAGCTTCCCTGGACAGGCCACTGCACAGGGCCAGAAAAACTTTCGGCTCAAGCTCCAGAAAAAAAAAATACAATAGTATCCTCTGACGTAAAAGATACGCCCCGTTGATTCGGTCCACCATACACCCTTCCGTTCTATCCATTCAAGCCGGCCAGGCGACATATAAAGAACCTTGTCCTGGTCTCCCACTCCTGGGCATTCTCTTCCCCTCTTCATCATCCATTCATCAGAGCCGGACCAACCAGTCTGTCAGTGGAACTGAGCTTCTCTTTGCGCCTCGCCCAATAAACTACCAGTTGCTCTTCTAATTCACTTTATTGCCATCTCTATACACTTTCAGTCCAGTCAACCGCAGCCATGTTCTCCAGTACCGTGGCCCGTCCACTACAGCTGGCCACCCGGTTCATGCAGTGGGCCAGTGCAGTCATCGTGATGGGTATCACTTCATACTTCATCCACAAGGGACCTCGCGGCCAGCACACTATCTACTGGGAAGTCATTGTAAGCATGCTCCTATCCTTGATGTAAACAAGTCGAACCTAATCAAACTAACCATGGATTAGTCGACCATGTCTGTTGTCTTCTTCCTGCCCGCCTTCATCTCGCCGTTCATGCCCAATGCCCTAAGCAAGTTTGTCCTGATCATCGATGTCATCTTCTCGTACCTGTATGTGCCATTCAACCAACCATGCTATGTGCTGTTACTGACCTAACCACAGCTGGCTCACAGCCTTCATCTTTGCCGCGCAAGACTACAACTGGCACAACTGCGCCTTCAACTCTCCCCCCGGCCTGTCCTGCTCTAAGAAGAAGGCCAACGAAGCCTTCATCTTCCTGACCTTCATCTTCACCTTCTTCGCCATGTTCCTCGAAGTCGGTGCCCTCTGGGCCTATCGTCGCGAGAGCACCCCAGTCCGGGAGAAGAACACTGGTGGCGCCCACGGCGGTCCTGCTGATGCGCCTCTGGCCACAGCCTAGACTTCAGACTCTACCTGATAATGCCATCTCGTCGTGTGATGACGACTACACATGCCAACATCCTCTCTTGCGCAGCCTCCATCCGTCTGCATCTACGTCCTGCACAGGAGAGAGAAGTCGTCCGTCTCCTGCGAGATGAGGATTCGATACCCCTTTCTTGTCTCTCTTTTATACGACCATGATACCACAGTTGACTTTGGCTTTGATTGAACATCTACCATTAATATTGATGATGTTTATACTTCTGATATCCCTACATACTAATGTCCCTTCGTTAATGTCCGTACGACTTGAACATGCTTGAACGACCTGAAGAACACGGAGTAGGTGGTGGGTGTGGGTGTGGGTGTGGGTGTGGATGTGCATAGATGGATCGGGGTTGTGACTAGGATCGTTACTGTTACTAATACTATCTTTACTAATTACCATCATAATCTTGTCTTGTCAATTTTTCCAGATCTGGTTCTATTCTATTCTAATGGCTCTATCCCGCGCTATGCTGCATCAGGGCCATCCATCCACTGTGTAATAATAGTACGATATTAATATATAGTCTGTGTCTAAAACGAAAAGATATCAAACGAATGCAGTCTTACCTTGAAACAATGTCATAAGATCAGTGAAACTAGATACAGCGTATGGAGTATACTATATTATTCATGACGGACACACATTACCAACCAATCTGGTACCTCCAACACAGTAAGTAGTAGTACATGATCAAGTTCACCCTGAATCATTACTACTTCGTTTTCGACTACTCGACTGCATAGTAAGTAAATATAACCAATAGAAACGCATACACACACACGCACACACACACATATATATATATATTTATATATATATTTCTAAATCAGCAACTTGCCTCAGCTACCATTACCAAACAATACATACATACATACATACATAACTACTATATGGCAGAAATGATACTACTTACTTACTTACTCATTTCTCGCAGGATCTGGGGGGTGTCAAGTCAGTTAGTAAGTAGGGTGGGAATGAGCTGAGCTGAACTGACAGCAATTAATGAATAACTTACTTATATTGTTAATACTAGTCATTAATGATATCTGAGAAACTAAGCAGGCCCACGCAGGGGAAGAAGAAATGCATACTGACTGCTATGTGTATATATATGCAAGGTTACAAAAAGAGTCCGTCATGTCTATTCATAGTCTATCTATTTATTGCTTCCAAAGTCTATCCAAGTCGTCATCA